TCCCAATAGTTTTGTTTACCGACAGTATGGCTCACGAACAGTGTCATTTTGGCTCACCAACAGCATGGCTTATCAACAGTATAACTTAACAACAATATGGCTTACCACCATTATGGCTTACGCACAATATGGCTTACCAACCGTATGACTTACCAACAGTATGGTTTACAAACAAAATAGCCTACCAACAGTCAATATGACTTTCCAAGAATGTGATTTTACTACGGTATGATTCACCAACGGTATGATTTACCAACAGTATGGCTTAACGATGGTATGATTTACCATCAATAAGGCTAACCAACAGTATGGCTCACGAACAGTATGGCTCACCAGCACTATGGCTAACCAACAGTTTGACTCACCAACAGTATGGCTTACCCTTAGCATGGCTTACCAATTGCAGGGCTGACCAACGGAATGATCTACCATTACTATTGTCCACCAACGGTATGGCTCACGAACAGTATGGCTTATCATTTGTATGGCTTACCAACGGTATGATTTTTTAACAGTATGACCTACCAATATAATGATGAACAAACAGTGTGGCTTACCAACAGTATGGCTTACCAATGGCATGATATACAAACAATATGGCTAACCAACAGTGTGGCTTACGAACAGTATGGCTCAACAGCATTATGGCTAACCAACAGTTTGGCTCACCAACAGTATGGCTTACCATTAGCATGGCTTACCAATTGCATGGCTTACCAACGGAATGATCTACCAATACTTTTGTTCACCAACGGTATGGCTCACGAACAGTATGGCTTATCATTTGTATGGCTTACCAACGGTATGATTTTTTAAGAGTATGACCTACCAGAAATATGATGAACAAACAGTGTGGCTTACCAACAGTATGGCTCACCAACGGTATGATTTTTTAAGAGTATGACCTAACAGTAATATGATGAACAAACAGTGTGGCTTACCAACAGTATGGCTTACCAATGACATGGTTTTTCAAGAGTATGGCTCAGCAACAATTTTGATTACGAACTGTACGGCTCACCAACACTATGGCTTTCCAACAGTTTGGTTCACCAGCAGTATGGCTTACCATTAGTATGGGTTACCAATAGTATAGCTTACCAACGGTATGATCTACCAATAGTTTTGTTTACCAACAGTATGGCTCACGAACAGTATGGCTTACCAACAGTGTTTCCCTCGTTAATTCAAAACGCTATACGGTTATCAACAAGCATACACCCTCTCTGATGCCTTTTGAACTTGGACTTTTTGAGGGACTTGTATAACTGCATGTCCAAAAGTAAAAAGTACGTTATAGTTTTATCGCAATTTTTTGTAGACAGTTTCAGAGCGCTTTCATTTCAAAAAGTTTGTTTTATCGGGATTTTCAGGAATATATAATCATTTAAAATATTAATTTTGAACAAGTATTGATGTTTTTCGAATGTTTAGGTAGATAAAGTTATGCTTCACAAAACTGTGCACAACACTTAGAAGATGGTTACTGCTAGTTTGAACAAAAAATGAACAAACATAAAATACAGGCTGAAGTTTCGTAAATCATGCAGGAAAAGTTTTCCTTTTTTTCTAAAGAAAACGTTTCTGTTAATTTTTTTTGTACTTCTGCTTTTTCTCTTCTAAATAGACTTGCAGAAACCAATGTTTTCAAATCACCAAAAACTCTGGGGCTTATTTTTTTTCGCTGAATTTCATCACCGCATTTAGTTCATGGTTTTTCACCACAAATGGCGAAGAAACTCTTTCACGCATCATTGCGTAGAGAAATTAAACATGAAATGAGGCCCAGAGATATATTATTTTTACGCTTGCGTTTATAAGGTATATTAAGTCGTGTTTCGAGCTGCAGTAACAGTGTTCCTAACATATTGCTTAGTATTGAGAAAAAGTGGTTTTAATCTGAGTTCATAGAGTAGTTCAGATCACAGTGCATTGAACAAACAGTAATGTGATAAATTACATGTTTCCTGCAACCAAAGTGATTTCATAATTCATCTGTTTTGTTAAGCTCGAGAAGACGAATAAAAGCATCCCGACAGGGGCGGATTTAGGGGGTGGAGTAGGCGGACGACCCCTTCTCGGGGATTCGACCCCCTCGCCAACTAAAGGGTCTCCCCTTTGATATTATTTTATGACATCCTCATTAGGCCGAACATACGCCAATATAATAAAAAAAACAATAAATTGTTTTCAGGCTAGTATACCAGTAGTGCTTGTTATAAAACCGCATTTACAACCATTGAACATTAGCCTGAGAGATAGTCATGAGACATTCTGGTCCGTTTTCAGACTTCTCTGAGCGGAAAAATTAAGTTGTTTTCTTAGTAACCTCCGATTTTCATCGGTATCGACCCGGCCTAAATAACTCAAACAAGTACGAGCTTTCTAAAAAAAAAGAAAAAAAAGAGGAAATATTAAAAAACAACCTGTTGGGATATTAATTTAAATTTCCTGGCTGTATATTGTGTTCAATAGATCTTCTTTGACCAGAATTAACTTATCTAAGAAAAGGTGGTTTTTGTTCCGACTTTAGAAACAAAAGTAACGGAATACTTGTGCTCGGTTGGGTTGTTTTTTTTTTCTTCGGACAAACTTCGACTTTTTAACTGGCCATTTTTGACAAAAAAAAATTTATCATTCGAAAAGGATTGTTGTCTTGAGCTTAAATTTAATAAAATATTTCACCGGTGATCGATTTTTGAAAAATTATGGGGGTTTAAAGATTGCCAATTTGCGACAATTAACGCGCGGTATATTTCGCGCTATTAACGCGTAAGCGGAGATTCAATCCGTCTTAGAAATTGGTCCAAACTGGTTGAAGGAAGCTTATTTGCCTAATTGATTAGTTACTAGGAGCAAAGTCTATCACCGTGTACTTGATATGGCGTATGGGGGGATGATTTTCACAAAAAACTCAATTTTAAATAATTTTTTTCTCATTTTATGCTATTATATTTAATATTTTCATGTTATTACTGCTTCATAAAGCTTAGCAGGCAGTCGGAACATTCAAGTCTTGTTTCTGTTTTTGGATGTTTTAGACTTTTTCTGGGTAAGCTCATCCCAATTTTTTCCATAGTTAAATATATATAAATATATATTCTATACTAGTTTTGAAGGAGAGCACACACCCAAAAAACGCAATTCTGTGATCCAAAAAATGCACAAAAATGGCATTGACCTGTTTTTTACAACTTTTGATTCCGGCGCAAATTTTTGTGACAAAAGAGAGTCTTTAGTGTATTCAGGAAGTGTTCGGAAAATCAATTTGGTCGACTTAGAAAATAGGTCGATAAATTTTTCGAAATTTTTTTGAAAATCCGCTCCTCACTCGAGAAAACCCTGGATCCGCCCCTGCATCCCGTCCATCATAGAAAAACTGCTCGTATCAAGGCAAGGTCTCGAGTGTTCTGAATGCCTTTCAAGGTCTATGGAGCAGTTATAACAATCAAATTTAATGGTAAAAAAAATTAAAATACTTTTAAATTTGAGATTTATTGTTAAAATCATCCCCCGCACGCCATATAAAGTACAAAGTGATATATGTTGCTCCTAGTAACAAGTCAATGACGGCAAATAGCCTGCTTCAACCAACTTAAAACGATTTCTAGGACGGATTAAATCTCCGCTGACGCGTTAAAAGCGCGAAATATATCGCGCGTTAGTTTCTCAATTTGGCCGAATTGGCACTTTTTAAACACCCATAATATAACAAAAATTCTTTTCAAGTTTAAGCTCAGGACAACAATACTTTTTAAATGATATAAAAAAAATCCCGTCAAAAATTTCAAAGCATCTATCGCATAAGATAGAGTTAAATTTATGCAATTATACAAGATTGAAGTGAGCCATTTTAATTTTAGTTCTGAATGTCGAAACAATATTGCATCTCTTAATCGATATCTTGACCAATACCTCTTAGTTCTGGGTCCACCCCCTTTTCACCCCCTTTCCAACGCTTTCCAATGGGTCCACCCCCTTTGATACTATTTTACGACAGCCAATTCTAGCTGAACAAATCTGAAAGCTTTCTAAATGTGCTGTTGGCGCCAATTCGAGGGGGGGGGGGGGTCGTCAACAAGCGCGATAAGCTTAAACCTTCCATAAATTGCGCATTAACGAAGTTTAATTCAAAAAACACCTGCTTCAAACAAATTTTTGCAAAATACTAGGGTTTTAATATATGTCAAAATTCGCTAGTCTAAAATAGATCAATCAATTTTCAGCTGCCCGACCTTTCAAATACAAATGATTTCAATAAATTTATTCCCAGTCTACAGTCAAACACAAACATCATGCTAAAGACAGTTTTAAACAAATCATTTCAAATATCAGTGACCCTTTTTAAAATTGTAATTGAATTCTTAGATGCAATATGAGCATTTTCGAGACCGCCGATAGGCTTGAAGCCTCCTCAAAAAATATGTTAACTTCCGTTATTTTAATGTAGTCTTCATTTTTAAGCTGGATGAAATCCTTTTCTATCAAGAAAAATAATCTTATTTAGGGAGCGCTTCAGTGCAATTTCCAAGGCATTGAAAAGGAATTCAATTGACGTGACCACGGACGTTTGAAGTTCTATTTTGCATGTTAGCTTAGAGTTTTTTTAACAGTCTTAGAGACGCGATCTAGACATACTTCATACAGTTTTGAACCCTAGGGGAATTCAATTTTCCCTCAGCAAAGCTCTGATAATTTGTACTTTACCGTTTAAAGTTCCCAATGTTATGGTTTATTTGAAAGACTGGATCAAGAAGACCGTTCAAAGTGAAATCGACTTTTCATCAGGCATTAAAAAGTTTCATTTAAATATTTAGCTGACCGCGTGCGAAATTGTTTCCTCACATAATGACCAAGGCTTTTGAAAATAGGCCTGTTTTGAAACTAATGCGCTTTTTTCTGGTAATCGTCAAAAATGAAAGCGCTGTGAACAAATGAAAGTTACGGCTTTGCTTGACTTTAAACTTAGAGATAAAGTGCATTTAAATAGCGAAATTTACCGGTATAGGGGTTTTCTTTGAAGGAGTCAAAGTCGTTTCCTATCCTATCCTGAGCCATCGTAACAAGACCAGGTCTTGCACACTTATACGTGGTTGCCGTTGACACGAGACCATTGCAGTCTTCCCGGTGACAGAACACTCCCGCGGACAGCTTCGACTCGAGCAGGAGCTGCCCCGACCTGTCGGTGCTCGGCGTTCGCCGACTGTACTTCACCGAACTTCTCCGACTACTTTTGAGTTGATGAGGTCCAGGAGAGGTTTGTCCGTTGTAAAAACCCAGACAAGATAAGAGCAGTCGGAAAGTTGCGGCAACAAAATTGGATATACCCCGGAGAATTCCTTTCTCGTTCAACCGCTTGATCTAAAAGTGTTGAACAATTCAACCTCTTGACCCTGGTTGGTAAAAAAAATTAAGTCAGTCCAATACTGATCAAGGGTTGCTTTTGGGGTCTATACTTTGATAAGTGTTATGATGTGAAAATGATCTTTTACTGTCCCCTTCCCGCCATTGATCTTACTCTCGAGTTTTTTTCATAACTTCAATTACTTCCAATGCGGACTAGGTCAAGGGACCCAATTTTAAGGACATGAAGTCTTCAAGTAAAGCGTCTAAGATAACAAATAGTAAACTGGAATTGATGTTTATATCCGACGCTGAGTAGAAATATGCAAAAAAAGGTGGGCTAATAAAGTGATGGGTAACGTGTACTCACACAGGAGGGTATTTTGTGTCGCGGTTCTGTGTGGTACAGTCTCAGTACTATAGTTGTGGACACGAGAGAGAATGCCACCATCATAATACACACCACCAGAAACTTTTCTGCACAGAACAAAACAATACACAACTATAGGATTTGCTGAGTTTGACTGTCTACAATTTCCAGAGACTCTGGAAGATAAAAGGTTGCTAGCTTCTTTAGTGACATTTTTTTGAACAGTGAGTGATATTTTTTCCGGTACAATTTTTCTCACCACTTTTTTCAGTTTTGGCGTTCAGTTCAAGAATTGTTCTTAACTTTAGTGTAAATTTTCAATAATTAAATTAAGCTGAATTGCCGAAATTTTCAAGTGTAAATGAACGCATTGAAGCCACTCATTTAGGTCGTGTGGTTTTTGTTTGTTTGTTTTTTCAGGAACAGTTCTTGAAAATTGTTCAGGCTCAGATTTGATTTTACGCGATCTGATTTTAATTTTTTTTAAAATTAAATTCCGATTCATTAAGCCAAAAAACGCTATCAAACTACAAAAGTAGAAATGACGCAAAATAAACCTGAACGACTTCAGTTTTGAAAGTAGATTTTGGCTTTCAGATTTCCCAGCTGAAAAAAAACTACTCCTTGATCTAGTTTTCTCTAATTAGTTTCGCATTAGTTTAGCTCGTAAAGTTTAAATCGGAGCAAAATGACAACTGACATTATCTCTATTGAAGCAGCTACGAGCTAAATTTTGTAGGAAATTAGTTTTGGACCTAGAAATAACTATTCTTCGAAGTTTTGATATCTTTTCGGATGCTTTTGCCAAAAAACACCCAGCAAAATCTAAATGAAAGGATACAATAGAAAAAACAGTCGCTGGGAAATTCTTCTGCCTAGCAACTGAGCCTTGTTTCTAGTAAAAAGCAGCGATGATTATAGAAAAAGTTCATGTTTTGAATTGTTGACTCTTTCTCGGGAAACTTTAGAATTATCCCGAAAACTACTGGGACAAATCTTAGATCAAGACATCAATAACAAAAATCATTCGCCCTAATCATTGTAGAAAAATGATGTTGGACTTGCAAAAAAAATATCTTTTTGAAGTTTCTTTCGTTTTTGGAAACTTTGGAAACTTACCTTCGGCTTCAGTACGTTTTTAAAAATACATATCATACAAGTACCGCCAGCTTTAGATGAGCTCCCAATGTTCAGTTAATTTGAGGCAGCAATGGTACAGACGCTAGGCCGTTTGACGTGGAATCTCGAGGTCGGGACTTCGATTCCGGTACATATAAGAATTTTAGTTTTACCTTTACGTTTTTTATCATTATTTCAAAGATGATTATTTTATCTGAAAAAAAATAAGCATGCAACTGTCAATTTCGCATCAATCTGCTTTCGGCCTGTTGCGAAATCTACTTACAATTCATAAATTGCTTGGTTTCTCCTCGTAATGTTTTTGGTCTTTCGAAACACATTAAATTATCTCTAAGTTCACCATGCTTACACCAGTCACTCTTGTGTTATAAAATCAGTTATTTCATTCTAATTTTCAAATTTAAGATGCAACTTAGCGGGATCTTTTAAAGTGAGCACATTGAGCCTGTACTATTTAAAATTATCTAGTAAAAAACATGATCCATGCCACATAGATTTAGAAAGCACGTATACTCAGAAAAACGTTTTCTGTTGGCTTTTGTAAAAGTATTATTGTTTGTTCATTTAACCTTTGATCTTTACTGATCGTTGACCTTTAAGTTGTTAATTTATACACCTGCCAAAAGCGCAACGGCTTTTGGTAGATTCGGAATTGGTCACTATCTTTTATGATACGTAACAAATAAACCGAAACCAATTCAATCTTTTAAACCTCTCTTACTTTAGTTAGCATCACCGTCTTTTATTTAGTCTTAAATAAAAGCCTACAGTTTTTAGTAGGAATCTTAATCATCCTTAATCTTAATCTATTCTTAGTTTAAGTACACTCTTATACAACTACGAGTGGTATCCTAATTTTTTAACATGGCGCAGTCTAACGAATTGAATCTACGTGGATTAGAGTTTTTTTGGAACAACTCATCAAACGAAAATCAACATGACTGGGAAAGGTGGGCGGAAAAGTTTCAATTGACAATTATTGCGAAAGACTCCGTAGACATCGAAGATGTAATTAACCCACCGATAAGAAACGAACTAACTTACCCTACGGCAGAACCACCGGACCCATCCGAGGATCAGGCCCGTCGGGCCGAAAAAGAGGAACATCACAGAGTAGCAGTACAAAATTATAACGAAGAATTAAGAAGGAGAAGGGCGGAAGATAACGCCAAATTTAACGGACTTCAAATCGGAGACATTGACAAGAAGCTAAAATCACAGTTATACCTAGCACTCGGAAAAGAAGGACAGAAATGCTTC